AACAAACCCATCTCCCTAGACCCCTTGTCTTTAATCATTGCCCACGTTGAGGCCAGAGACCACCTCCACATGAGACCACCCCCAACACGCATGACGAGAGTCTTCATCTCATCCTCTTATAAAAGTTAAATTTGAGATTCTAGAAGAAATGGAGTTGGGTAATAGGTTAGGATGTTCAGAAATTATTCTTTCCTGGAGCCAAAAGGGCAAGTGACCTATTGTACCTTATAAAATGAGCACCGCCTCTCGATAATGGGCTAGGCTATGTCTAAAGGAGGAGCGGAAAGCCTTCCTAGCCTGGGTTCCTCAACCCCTGCTGACTATGAGGAGGCTGGACATCACGAAGTCCTAGATTCCCCGCACGATGGGTGAAAGTGTGCGCCTATGCATTTTGCTCTGAAAAATAGTGAACCGTCGCTAGGGTCTCAAAGGGGTCTGCAACTCCTAAGTTAACAACTGTCTGCTGCGTGGGCGGAGGCGCGCCAAGCTGACACTTGATCTTAAGGGGACGTTCCCCAAATACCCCAAAAATTGTACAGTTCAACTCCTAGGCCTGCCAGTGACAGCGTGCCCCCACTTTGCCCCGATAGAATTCCACGTATCTGTGGCTTGGGGTCAGCGGCTTTGGGGAGGGCCCTGCAACCTCGCCGGAATCCGCGTGCGGGCTCCCGGGGCGGGGCGGGGCGGGGTGGAGGCGGGGCGGGGCGTGGTCCTGGGCTCGGCCCCGCCCCGGCGCTGACGTCGCGCGGCTGGAGGCTCGGCGGATCGGCCAGTCCGCCGGAGCGCGAGCGCCGGGCCCGGTCGGTCGGTTGGCTGCGCGCGGTGGGGAGGTTGAGGCGGAGGAGCGCGTGCTGGGCCCTGCAGTAGCGGTTACTGCTCCGCGTCACCGGCGGGGTCCTGTGGGATCTCCCGCTGGCTTCGGTGTCCCGGTTGTGGCACGACGCGGGGACTCCCCGTAACCCCGTGGTCAGCCGCTTCGGTTTGGGGGCATAGCCCACCGCCCATCCCGCAGCATGCGTACCTCCTACACCGTGACCCTGCCCGAGGAGCCCCCCGCCGCCCCCTTTCCCTCCCTCGCCAAGGAGCTGCGGCCGCGCTCCCCTCTGTCCCCGTCCCTGCTGCTCTCCACCTTCGTGGGGCTTCTGCTCAACAAAGCCAAGGTACGCGGGGACCTTTTCTGGGACCTCCCATGCCGAAGGTCTGGGGTCCTGCTTGCTCCCGGGACCGACCCCAGCCCACCACGAGTCCCTAAACCCCAGGACGTTCTTTCCCCTCTTTTCCGAGGGTCTCCTGGCAAGGGATGCTCCCTTCCTGGAAATCGCAGGCTTGCTCTGGACTCTTCCTGTCTTGATATCCAAGCCCCTAAGGCCCGCAGACCCCCTCCCTGGGTGACCCGGGCACCTGGTGGCTCTTTGCCTCTTTATTCCAGTCACCTATCAAGACAGGTGCAGGCGAGAGTAACCTTGACTAGGGCTGGTGTGTGACTAGAGGGAACAAAACAGCACGCCGGACTTGGGAGTGACTCCTCCTAGGCCAAACTCCAACAAGGAAGGTGGATCAAAGGGGTGCCTCCCTTTCTGTGTTCCCAAACAGGCGCTCTCCCAGGGGTCAGTTGCCAGGGTGCTTTGACCCTGTGAAGGGCAGAGATTGTAGTCAGGTGAGAGAATGATCTCTTCTCTTCCTGGCCCTCTTCGGTTGTGTGGAGTGGGCAGTGGATTCCTTGATTGAAGCAGCTCGTGGAGATTGTTGGGGCTAAAGCTGGGCACTGTCCCTTTGGGAAAGAGAAGGGGCCTGAGCTTGACAGGTCTTATGTAACAGGCACCAGCTCCCGTGTTGGCAGTGCGTGCCCTGCCCCGTGCCAGGGCTACTCCGGGCTTCTTGGCTTCAGCCAGGACACATGGCTGACCCTCACCATGCAGATAAAGCAAGAATGCCCCTTAGATGGGGTCTCCAGTGTGAAGTCACAATCTCAGTCCACCTTTCTTCCAGGCACATCCCCAGATGCCAGCCCTCATTACCCAGTGGCAAGCGGTTTGAACCCCTGCTCCTGCCCTAGCAGAGGAGTGCTGTTTACTATGGAAGTGGCATCGGCTCTGTAGAACAGTGCTTGCTATTGAGTCAAAGCTAGGTTTGCTGATGGCTGCGTGTAAGGAAGCGCCTAAGGAAGCACCAGGTCCAAACTTTCTGCACGCTGCACCTGAGCCCCAGCTGGAATCATTTCCTTGTGCTGTCATTGTGAGAAGCTGGCTCCGCAGGGTGTCTGTCCCACCTTTTCAGTGCTAGCCTCTCTTTCCCTGCCAGCCCTGAGGTAGGATTGTTTGCCCTGTGAGAAAGGTCACTCGCTCCTGGGACATTTTGTTCCTTTCTGGAATGGAAAGTCCTGACTTTCCCTGGAGCTCCTGATTTCCTATTCATGGCAGAAGAGTATCTGGCCTGGCGTAGAGCAGCCCTGCTCCCCCATCCACTCCCAAGCCCTGTAAACCCCCACCTTCTACACAGAGCACTCAGAAGTTGGCAAGTGGAGTCAGGCATGGTGGTGAATGCCTATAATCTCATCCCTTGGGAGGCAGAGGCAGGAGGATAGCTTTGAGTTTGAGACCAATCTGGTCTACATAGTGAATTTCAGTCCAGCCAGTGCTATATAATGAGACCCTGTGTCTAAGAAAGGGAAAAAGAACTTTGCTCGAGTGTTTGGGGTTTCAGGAAACCCCACACATACACACACACACAAATTAGTCATAGGGTTCTAATGGTGATTTAGGGGAGCCTCTCCCTTCCCACCCCCAAGCCAAGAGAAGCGTTGGGGCCCAGAATACTAACCATGGAGGACGAAATGCGATTCTCACCTTCCAGCTGTCCTGGGGAGCCTGAAAACAGGTGTGCTGCTATGGACTGGTGACGCCAACCTCCCTTTCCACACCCTCACTAGTGCTGGGGTAGGTGCCTCAGCTGAGAGCCCGCCTTGTAGATGTGGACATGGTCACCAGGGATAGGATGCTTTGCATCTCTACAGCCTGTTTAGACCGATGTCGTCTCAGGCACAGGGGGTAAGGACAAGTAGAGAGCTACCAAAAGCAGATGTGAGTGGGCATCACGTGTGGGCACTCCTCGGTGGGTGCCTCCAAGCAGGCAACATGGAGATCGCAGCCACGCTTTCTTGTTGGGCTCTGGGGAAGAGGGAGTTGTGTTTTAACCACTTTATCCTAAGCTCTGATAAGATCTTTGTCTGCAGGGATTGTCTCTGTGGTAGCCCGCTTACAGGGCCCACTGCTGTCAGCAAGCCAGAATTCCCATTTTGCCACCTCCAGGGGTTGAACCTAGGATCTTACAAATGCGAGGCAAGCCCAGTCAACCACGACACCCAGTGGTGGGATTCACATTTTATTTGGGGGCACCTAGGGTTAGCACTACAGTCCAAGGCAGTCAGTAGAGGATGCTATACACCCTACCTGCTGCCAGCAGGCGGTTCCTTCAGCTGAAGGTTTAAGCCATGTCTCCCTTCTGGGTGTACTTTCTTCTCTACCTGCTAGGGCTGGACCTGACAACTGACCGCGGGAGGGATCCTCCTACTTGTAGGATGGACCTGGTGTGTGCTCCTTGAGAAAAGCCCTCCCTTGGCCTGCTCCTCCCTCCCCCCTTTCAAGCTGACAGTCTCATGGGCTTTGAGCCGCTGACAGCCTCCTAGGCTGTCAGCACACAGCATGAGTAATTTTAGCTGAGTTATTTCAGGCTCCTGTTCTGATGAGGGTTGAGCTGGCCCCACGCATGCCCCAGCCAGTGTTGCTCCAGAGTTGCCTGCTCCAAGGCCCCTTCCTAAGAGAGGGGGTGGCAGACTCATCCACAAACTCATCCACTGTTTTTTTAACCCTTTGAGCCTGAAGGTTTTCTGAGTCCCAGGTGGTGTGCCCAGGGTTAGCTCAGAGACCTTGACAAATAGCGCTCAGAGCCTGCAATCTCGCACCTGTTCTCTCTCCTGCCCCTCACCAGCCTCCACAGCAGAGACTAGAGTGGCACCTTCAGCCAGCACTTCCTCGGTATGGCGGCACATGCCGTGGCAAGTGCTTCCAGCCAGTGGCTAGTTGGGATATCGAAACCTGAGGCGGGCGGGCGGGCGGGGAGGATCCTCCTACCTTGGCTCAGCCCTTAGAAGCTGAGTTCAGCTGGAAGGAATTCCACCTGTCTCTGGCAACTCGGAATGGCAGGCAGCTTGAGTTTTTCCCAGCTGAAGATCGAAACTCAATTAGAATGGTTTGTCGTTTAACCTTTCTCAACCCCCTTAAAGTGCCAATTATGATGATTCCTTCGTACTTTGAACGTCTAGTACAAATATAGGTCATATGAAGTAGAACCTGGATTTGAGATATGAAACCTCTTCTTGTTGTTTCATATAGCTCAGACTAGAATCCCTAATCCTCCTGCCTCCACTTACCGAGTGCTGGAATTGCAGGCATTCCCCACCATGCCTGACCTATACTTTCAGTTTCTCACAGCAAGAAATTTATATCCCTAGATTTATGAATACCTAGCCTCTAGTTTTAATATCTAGTCTCCACTGTAGCAGAGTAAAGAGAAGCCAGGTGTAGTAGCTCACACCTGCAATTCCAGCACTCAGGAGCTGAGCAGGAGGGTTGCCACAGTTCACTATGCTACCCAGTGAGACCATAAAAAAGCAAAGCCCTGAAGAATAGTTTGTGTGTTGAAAGTAGATATTCCTCCATCCTCTTTTCTCCAAGATGCATAGACCAAGGTTGGAAAGAGAATAGTCTACCAGGCAGTGGTGGCACACCTTTAATTCCAGCACTCAGGAGCCAGAGGCAGGAGGATCTCTGTGAGTTCAAGGCCAGCCTGGTCTACAGAGTGAGTTTCCAGGACAGCCAGAGCTACATAGAGAAACCCTGTCTCAAAGAAGAAGAAAAGAGCACTCCAGTGGTGAGGAGAAGGGTGTTGAATAGACATCAGACTCTGAGCCTCTTCATATGACACATATTCTTTGCTTACAGAATTCAAAGAGTGCCCAGGGTCTGGCTGGTCTTCGAAACCTTGGGAACACGGTAAGTTCCTCCCAACTCACTTTTTTTTCCAGGAGAATAGGGGCTATGCCTTACTCTCCTGGTTGGGATAATCCAATAGAGTCCCCTTCTGGCTGCAGCTAACCTATCCTATAGAGCAGTCAGCACCTGCCTTCCTGGCTAGTGTTTGAGTGAATTGCTGGGCTCTGTCTCACCCACCCCCAGCAGGAAGCACTAAAAGGAAGTTGCCCTTGTCACTGCCAGCCTGCTGCTCTCCTGGACCTTCCTCCTGGTTCCCATCATTTCCCACCCACTTTCTGACCAGTGCGCCCACACCCATTTGTGTACACCTCAATAGGAAATAACCAATTATATGGCCTTTCCCCATAGTGGGGACTTGCCTCGCTCCTCCCTGCCTCCACTCAGGAAAGAGGAACTTTTTTGAGTAGATGAAACAGAGAGCCTCTGATTGCAAGTAACAGAAGTGTTGGGTAAGGTTCTTAACTCTATTACCATGTTAGTCAGCTTTCTGTCCCTATGACAGATACACCAGATAAATCAACTTAAAATGACAGTAAGTTTATTGGGCTGTTTTAGTTCATGGCTGACTCACTGGCTTTGTTGCTTTGGGCTTGTGACAAGGTAGTACATGTAAAACCATTCACTTCATGGCCAGGATACCTGAAGGTCTCCCACTGGATCCCATCTCTTCAAGTTGCTACCATTAGCTGGGAATGCACAGCTTGTAGAAAAGTTAGAACTACGAACATCCACTGATTGCCCAGATTGTCTCTTGTAGTGCTTCATGAACTCAATTCTTCAGTGCCTGAGCAACACCCGAGAGTTGAGAGATTACTGCCTTCAAAGGCTATACATGCGGGACCTGGGCCACACCAGCAGTGCACACACAGCCCTCATGGAAGGTGAGGAGTCCCGTGTGAGTGTGACCATGCGTCCATTCCCAGCTCTGTTCTGTTCTACTATGCTGGACTGAGAACTGTGTTTTGGATACACTCCACTCCTCTGTTTTTCTTTCTTTGCCTGTTGTTCATTGGGATTCTTTCCAGAATCTATTCTTTGAGACATGGCCGTGCTCTGTAACCCTGGTTGGACCCAAGCACTTGATTCTCCTTCAGCCTCCCAAGTGTTGGGATTACAGGTGTACAATGCCATGCCTCATTCCAGTTTCAGGATTCCATCTTGTTTGTTCATCGGTTGGTTGATCCACGGGTTGGCTGGATGGTTGTCTTGTGTTTTTGTGACAAGGTCTCATGTAGCCCAAGGTGGCCTTGAACTCCTTATCCTTCTACCTTAACTTGGGATCATGGGTATACACTACCACACCTAGCTCAAAGTTTTACACACACACACACACACACACACACACACATACATACCTGGGTCTGGAAAGATGGATTGGTGATTGAGATAGCCATCTGCTCTTCAGAGAACCAGATTTGGTTCCCGGAACCCATGTCTAGCAGCTCACAACAACCTTTAACTCTTAGTTTCAGGGGATCCAACACCTTCTTCTGGCCTACATGGGGCATTCACAAGCATACACACACACACACACACACTTTAAAATAAAATCACTTTTTACAAAAGAAAATATCTCAGGCTGAAGAGATGGCTCAGTGGTTAAGAGCACTGACTGCTCTTCCAAAGGACCAGGGTTCAGTTCCCAGCACCCACAAGGCAGCTCACAACTGTCTGTAACTCCAGTTCTGGGGGACCTGACTGATACCTTTACACAGGTATACATGCAGGCAAAACACTAATGCACATAAAATAAAAATAAATGAATTATTTATTAATAAATGAATTATTTATTAATAAATGAATTTATTTATTAATAAATGTCTCACCTTTCCTCCACCCTCTCTCTGGTTGTTCCTTTCAACAGAATTTGCAAAACTAATCCAGACCATATGGACATCATCCCCCAATGATGTGGTGAGCCCATCTGAGTTCAAGACCCAGATTCAGAGATATGCACCACGCTTTGTTGGCTATAAGTAAGGGCCTCGAATGCATGTCCTCCCTCAAAGGGGAGGCAGGGGGCATGGCACAAGCAGGGTATTGGTAGATGCTGCTCACTCACTTTCTTTGGGTTCAGTCAGCAGGATGCTCAAGAGTTCCTTCGGTTCCTTCTGGACGGGCTCCACAATGAGGTGAACCGGGTGACTGTGAGGCCCAAGCCCAACCCTGAGAACCTTGATCACCTCCCGTAAGTGAAAGGAGAACGATGCTGAGAAGTGATGTCTTTGTGAACTTGAGATTCATACCACTTCTTTGAGAGTAATGATCTGGGCAGAATCAAATTTGCTTTGTTGTTTTTAAACAGGAGCTTTTTTTTATTTTGGTGACAGTAGTGTGTGTGTGTGTGTGTGTGTGTGTGTGTGTTACTGGAGATTGTACCTAGGGCCTTGTTAGTGATGGGCAAGCACTCTGCCACTAAGATTAAAAGGTTGAAGCCAGGCATGGTGATACACACTAGATTTCAAAAGGCTGAGGTAGGAGACCAGCCTGGGCTAACCATGGCTTAGGAGGTAAAGCTCAGTGGGCTGTTTAAAGATCATGATCAAGGCCTGGGGTTCTATGCCCAGCACCACAAAAAACATAATGCATATAAATACATTCTAGTCAATAGCACCTAAGCACCAGGGTTTGAACTCTAACCCAGCTGTCTTCCTGTCTGTGGTTCCCAGTGATGATGAAAAAGGGCGACAGATGTGGAGGAAGTATCTAGAGAGGGAAGACAGTCGGATTGGGGGTAAGTATACAGACAAGAAAATACCTGTTCTGCTGCTGTCCCCCTACTTTGCTTGAGAAGCCCTGAGGATCATTTTTCCCAGGGAACCCTGCTTCTGCCTGTGGCTCTCAAAACCAAGGCAAGAGCAGGGAGAAAAGGAAGAAAAGGTACTCAGTATGTTCACCACACCCTGGCTTTCTCGTCCCCAGATCTCTTCGTTGGGCAGCTAAAGAGCTCCCTGACGTGCACCGACTGTGGCTATTGCTCTACTGTCTTCGATCCCTTCTGGGACCTCTCGTTGCCCATTGCAAAGGTATGTGCCTGCTGTGGCCCGGTGTCAGCTTCCCTCGGGCTTTGCAAGGTTGTGAACAGCTGATCTGGACTTTTTTCTCTCCAGAGAGGCTATCCTGAGGTAACATTAATGGATTGCATGAGGCTCTTCACCAAAGAGGATGTGCTGGATGGGGACGAAAAGCCAGTAAGTACTCCTCAGTGACAGAAGCTGTCCACAGTGGATTATTGGGAAGGACTGCCTGGGTCTAGCCCCTGTTGTCTGTCTTTCAGACATGCTGCCGCTGCCGAGCCAGAAAACGATGTATAAAGAAATTCTCCGTGCAGAGGTTCCCAAAGATCTTGGTGCTCCGTATCCTTAACAACCCCCCAGGGTTGAGACCTGACTTTTTGGGGTGACTAATGACAAGGGACCAGAAGGGGAGGGAAGCAGAGTAGGGGATAAAACAGTGTAGGTTTCTGTGTTTGCCCTCTGTTTCCTGAGATGAGCCACTCCTTCAAGGACTCTTCTGGCTTTGTGTCCTTGACTCAATGACAATCACAGACCTGAAGCGGTTCTCAGAATCCAGGATACGAACCAGCAAGCTCACAACATTTGTGAATTTTCCACTAAGAGACCTGGACTTGAGAGAATTTGCTTCAGAAAACACCAGTGAGTATATACTTCAACAGGATGAAACCTGAAGCTGAGAGGCAGAGGTGGGAAGAAGCTAGTGAAGTAGGAAAAGACTCTGGGAAGTAAGGAGCCTGTGAGATACAGGTAAAAGTGCTGATGACCTAACCCTGGCCCCCAAAACCACACAGAAGGAGCCAATTGAATATTGACTCCTTCAAAGTTTTCCCTCTGACCTACATAACACACAATGAGTAACTGAAATTAATTTCAACTTTTTTTTTTTAAGTAGAAGCTATGGTTTCTTTAAGGGAAAAAAAAAGATAGGGAAATAAAATGGAGGTAGGGAAGGAACATGGAGGCAGGAATGCCTCCAGAGCTTTACACCTGTGTTTCCTCCTCAGACCATGCTGTTTACAACCTTTACGCTGTGTCCAATCACTCCGGAACCACCATGGGAGGCCATTATACAGCCTACTGTCGAAGTCCAGTAACGGGCGAATGGCACACTTTCAATGACTCCAGGTGAGAGATGGGCTTCAGACAGGGCTCCTGGACAGCAGGCCACCTCATATGGCTTTCATCTTGAATGGACAAAGTGGAGGCCAAGTCTACATCATACACAAAAGGCTATGGTCCCCTTTCTGGAGCTGTCCAAAATGGTCATGGTGGCTTACAACTGTAACCAAACATCTGAGAGGTAAAGGCAAGGTGATCAGGATTTAAGGTCATCCTCAGCTACATAGCGAGTTTGAAGTCAGCCTGGGCTGTGTGAGACCCTGTCTCCAAAAAAGTGGTGAAAATGAAGAAATAGCTCAGTGGTTAAGAGCTGTCACTGCTATTGCTGAGGACAAGAGTTTATTGCCATTAGCCATGACGGGCAAGTACACTCAGCAAGTACCCACACACATACCACATAAACATATTTAAAACAAAAAACCAAAAACTCTCTAAGGACAGAGGCAGAGCTTAGGTTGTCAGAAGTTTGAGACATTTGTCCAACCTCAGCCACTCAGCTGTGTCTCAGGTGGCCTTCCTTGACAGGCTCTGACTTTAACCTGATCTTTCCACAGTGTCACACCCATGTCCTCCAGCCAAGTGCGCACCAGCGACGCCTATTTGCTCTTCTATGAACTGGCCAGTCCACCCTCCCGTATGTAGCATTGAGGAGCTACAGCCCTTCCCTCTTCCCTGTGGCAGCCCCGCGTCCTAAGTTTTTTAAAAATTCAGAAAAAAAACACAAAAAAAAAAAACAACAAAATCCTGACAAGTAAGAGAAAAATAAAGTAAAATAAAGCTGCCGAGCAGAAGTTGAAACGGCCTGGTCGGGGTCTGGAGCAAGGAGCCCGGTGCCCCTGAGCCACGGCCCGTCAGGGGAGACGGACTGATGCAGAGACAAGTCAGCAGCGTTCCTCAGCTCCTCGGCTTCTCTTGTTTGCATTTTTAAGCTTGTGGTTTTTCCTGTGTGTAATAAACAACAGTGGTCCGTGGGGAGAAGATAGATCCTCAGTCCACCTGCTGCCCTCTCCTGCCCTACACCTTCTGGGAGGACAGCGCCCTCTGGAGCCTGCTGGGAGCATCGCTACTGGATGGAGCTAGGGAGGAGCCTGCACGGAGTCCCCCACCCTGGACCTGCTCACCAGCCCAGAAAGGAAACACCCATGAGCCAAGAGCCCTCTTAAAGCTGCTAAGTCCAGGGGTACAGATGAGGGGGACATCTTTGAAAAAAGCTGGTTTGGGTTTTCAAAAGCCCACTTTTTTTAAAAAAAATTAACTGTAACGAACATGTTCCGACTGGAGATGCTGTCCTTCACACCTCTTCTCAGCTGGGACATTGGGCTGGCCCTCTGGTTTTTTTTTTTTGTTTTGTTTTGTTTTTTTTGTTTTTGTTTTTTTTTTTTTGTTTTTGTTTTTGTTTTGTTTTGTTTTTGAGTTTGTTTTCTCTCTCCCTCCCCCCCCTCCAAATACAATTTCCCTAATGGAACACCACATTTCCCTGTGGTGTTAGGTGTCGGCCAGGCCCAAGAATAGTCACAGTAGACCTGAGATCTAAATAAGTTTTCTGTTTTGAAGGTTTTTTTTTTTTAATTACTTTCTTTTTTCTTTTTCTTTTTTAATGTTTTGGATGGAATCTAGTTGCCTCCAAGAATTGTGCCTTAATAGCATTTGGGGACCAGGGGGTAACTTCCCCTTCCTGAGATATCCCTCACCTGTTTCCCTTTATCCCAATGCCATGTTCAAAGCCTCCTGGGGAAATGAGGTGCTGCCTTTAGCCCCTGGCTAGTTGTGCATTGCAGTGGGGTTAAGAGGGAAGTGGATAAAGGATGTTTAAGATAGTGTATCAAGTTCTTCCTGTCGTCCTCTCTCCTACCCTTGGTCTACTCCCCAGCTGTTTGAAGGACAGCACAGGCCCCTTGTCCCTAGAGCTTCGCCTTTAATTTATTCTCTTCCTAATGCCCCTGTACCCCAAGCTTCCTGCCACCTGTCCCTTTCTCAGAGTCTCCTGGACAAAGGCCCTCTGGACTGAGCTTCTCAGGGACACCCATGCCACCCTTTACCCCTCTTGGCATCAGTCTTTGGTCCTGCCCTGGGAGCTTGAGCCTGGATGTCTGGGGATGTCTTGTATGATTCTTTCCCATGGACTTGATTTGGCCCTCAGTCATTAGGCAAAACTCCATGCTGTCCCAAGAGCCAAGCTATTCAGCACTAAGGCATTTTGCACACCCCCACAGGTGGGCCTGGCTTATGCCCTCAGAACCTGGAGTGCTTGAGTGTTCCCAGGATGAGGCACTGGAGAAAGACACCCTGAGTTTACCTGGCCTGATACCCTTCTCTGGGGAAGACTGTGAACCTGAGCCCAAGGGCTGGTGTACACTTGTTTACTATGTAAGCAAGAGTAGAATGTCTAATTACAGTGGAGCCTTGTACAGAATAAATAGTAGCTTTGAGAAAGAAGCTGCTGGTGTGACAGTCTTGATTTGGGAGGGGCTTAAATCTGGGGAGTGCTCCAGACAGTGAGGGCCACACACACAGTTCACCACTTCCATGTCTGTGAGCACTGCATTCTAGAAACTTACCCACCTGTTTCTCTCTTTCTCTTTGGTTTTTAGAGACATGATTTCTCTGTATAGCTCTGGCCATCCTGGAACTAGATGGCATGGAACTCAAGAGATTATCCTGCTTCTGCCTCCGGAGTGCTGGGATTAAAGGCGTGTGCTACCACCACCCAGCATTCAATTCTTTTTTTTTTTCTTTAAGTTTAAATAGTATGTATTTCAGATGTCATATTCCACATCTGGATTCCCAAACTGTTTGTCCTTGTGTTTATATGTATTTTATTTTGACTAAAATGTTTATGATGACATCAGTATCATCTTTCCAAGGACATCATCCTGTAGGACACTATCTAAACACCTGGGAGAGCAGACACATCTGATGGGTTTGCTTTTGCAAGACAGGGTTTCTCTGTGTAGCTCTGTAGATCAGGCTGGCCTTGAAGTCACAGAGATCCACTTGCCTCTGCCTCCTGGGTGCTGGGACTAAAGTCAGGTGCCACTTAGTGTGTGGAGGGTGCATACCTGTGGGAGTCAGAGAAAAACATGCAAGGGTCAGTTCTCTTCTACCATGTGGGTCCCAGAGGTCAGAACAGCCACCAGGTTTGGTACAAGTGCTTTTACGTGCTAAGCCACTTTGACAAACAACCCACACACACACCCTTTAAAATAGAGGAGCTCTGTAGCCCAGGCTGGCCTTGAACTCACAATAGTCCTTCTGCTCTAACCTACAAAGTATCAAGATTAGAGACATGAGCTGCCACACCTGGCTCACATTTCTGTTTAAAAAAAAAGAAAAAAAAAACTGATCTGTGTAGACCAGGCCCCTGCTACGGGCCTCCCCAACAGATGCTAGACACAGTGTCACTTGTCTTAGAGAAAACCGTCATAACTAGGACCCTCCTCCACTCCCACTAAGACTTAGAAATGGCTACCTCTGTATTAAAGTGTTATCCCCTGTCTTAGGGCTTTCCGTTCTGTGAAGACACACCATGGCCACAGCAACTCTTATAAAGAAAAGCATTTAATTGGGGCTGGGTTACAGTTCAGTCCATTATGATCACAGTGGGAAGCATGTCGGCATGGGGACAAGACACAGTACTGGAGAGGTAGCTGAGAGTTCTACATCCCAGCCCGAAGGCAGCAGGAAGAGAGTGACCCTGGGCTTGGCCTCAGCATCTGAGACCTCACATCCAACCCCAGTGACACACTTCAACAAAGCCACACCTACTCCAACAAGGCCACACTTCCAAATAGTGCCGCTCCCAGTGGGCTTGTGGCCCACATATCCCGTAAGGAGGCTTAGCTTTGTTTGTTGTAGGGTGTTGGGGATTAAACACAGGGCCTGTGCATGTTAAACAGGTGTTACACTAAGTATACTGAGTTACACTCCCACTTCTAAAGAACTTCCATCAAAATTTGAGAGGCAGATGTAGCGGCACAAGCCTCTAACGCCAGTCCTTGGAGGAGCAGGGCTAGAAGTGAGAAGTTTAAAGTCATACCCAGATACATAGCAACCTGAAGGTCAGCCTGTGCTAGATAAGAGCTCCTGTTTCAAAAAGAAGAGGGACTGGGGAGATGGCTCAATGATTAAAGATACTGGCTGCTCTTCCAGAAGACCTCAGTTCAATTCCTAGAGAAAACAAATCAGTCCACAACTGCAGTCTGTGACTCCGGCCCTCTTCTGACCTAGGGGGCACTGTATGCACATAGTGCACATACATGCATTCAGGAAAACACCCATACACACTTAAAAAAAGGCCAGGTGTGGGGGCATTCCTTTAATGCCAGCACTTGGGAGGCAGAGGCAGGTGGATCTCTGAGTCTGAGGCCAGCCTGGTCCATAAGTGAACTCTAGGACAGTCAAACCTACATAGTAAGACCCTGTCTTTAAAAAAAAAAAAAAAAAAAAAAAAAAAAGAGCTCTTTAGGGCTTCAGGGCACACAGTGGCATTGTCTTTGAGGGGGAGGGGTATCACATCACTGTATTGCTTGCCTTTTCCATTTCTTCAGCTACTTCGCACTGAAGCTCTTCCCACTCCCATTAGGCTTCTTTCTTTGCTCTAGACACTAGGGGGGGAAGTCTGTCCAGACATCTCTGCTGTGGCACAGGTACCTGTTGTCACTTGGGACCAGTGTACTATTGTGTGTACCTCATGAAGGAAGACAGCTTGTTTGTTTTGGTTTTGGAGACAGGGTTCCCTGTGTAACAGCCCTGGCTGTCCTGAACCTCACTCTGTAGACCAGGCTGGCCTCGAGCTCACACAGATCTGCATGCCTCTGCCTCCTGAGTGCTGAGAATAATGGGAATAAAGGTGTGTGCCACCAGGCCCAACTCAAAAGACAGCTTTCTAATCTGGGAATTTCACAGCAGTGAGAAAAAGTTTTGACTTTTATTCTGAGACAAGCTCTCATATAGCCCAGGTGGCTCTTGGGCCGCCTATGTCTGGCCCATCCAGCTTCTACTTCTGCATGGGCTAGAATTCCATTACAGGCCTGTGTGCCTTCATCATCCCATTTTAGTTGATATTAGGAATTGAACCCAAGGTTTTTGGTACGCTAGGCTGGAGCTCTAGCCAACCCCCCCCCAACCACACTAGCCGCATAAAGAAGGTTTAAATAAACTTTGTTGCTTCTTTCTGAGGGACTTAGACGTCCCTATCCCCCCAGGAAGGTCAGGACCCAGGATGACATGTGTAAAATCAATGCTTCTCCTAGTCAGCCACAGGTAAACAGTGTTCACAGAAAGTGGCTCCCAGCCAAGTGACTGTGCCTGGTTTCTCAGGGGTGGTAGAAGCTGCCCTGTGCATTGTGTTCTCCACAGGACAGACCAAAACAAAGTAGGGACTCAAGCTCTTGCCCTTGCTCCCAGCTTTCCTTCTCAGCAGCCTGTGGTGCCATCTCATCCCCATGGCAACAGTCCCTAGGACTGCACCAAACTCCAAACACAAGCAGGTCTGTCACTGCATTTCTTTGTGATCTGCTTTGCCTCCTAGCAACTTGGATTATTTCTCTCATTCTTGACCAGTGTTCCTGTAGGCCCTGACTGAGAGGAGGTGCTGCCTCTGCAGTTGCTTTTGTGACCTTGATCAAGACCCTCCCCCTCTGTAGGCCTCCAAGTCTCATGGGAATGGAAGGTCTCTGCTGAGGGGTTTTCATGCTAAGTCACATTTCCTCCAAATACACACTTAAATTGGGACTTATACACCCAAGGTTCCCTGGCCCAGTTTATAAGTTTGCTTGCTTGCCTTACATTTACCTATTCTAAGAGGACAGCTTGTGCATACCGTGGCATATGTATGGAACTTTGAAGAGTCAGTCGTCTTCTTCCACCATGTCAGTTTCGGGGATCAAATTCAAGCCAGCAGGTTTTGCAGCAAGTGCCCTTACCAAAGCAGACAACAAGGAAACACAGGGGCTTGTTCTGGTATTGTCATTTCTCCAGCCCCAGAGTGAATTTTTGATTGCTCAATGCTCAACCCAATTCATATTTTATGGGTCTTTAGAGTTGGGAAACTTAGAAGTCACCTGACATTTTGACAGTGTACTAGGGGCTCAAGACCTGTCAAAGGCCACACCACCTGGCCATGACAGAAGCAAGCTGGAGCTCACCTAGTTCTTGCTCCGCCTGAAGCCTTTTGGTTGCATCGGGGACAGCATTTGCCAGGACTCTCAGCGGAATTTTCCTACCTTATTAGGAAGTGAACTGAACAGCCATGTAGCATGCACATGTACCCAGCAGCAAAGCCAGCATGAGCTAGATGAGCCCTGCTCGGTCTGTTTGAGCTGGACACTTCTAAGGGTCCCTACACTTGAACTCTCATGGGCACAAACAACCACCTGTGTGGGTTGCAGAGGGCAGGAAGAAGTGGCCAGCAATCATAGCCCAAGATGACATAACCTCTCTGAGCCCGGTTTCTTCATCTATAAGCTGAGTATGGTAATACCAACAGACTTATGAGGCTGATTAGAAAAAGCATGGCACACTGTAGGCACTCAATGCAGGGAGCAATCTTCTCATCACTACAACCAAACACCTAAGAAGAAGCAACTTATGGCCAGAGAGCTACCCAGTGGGTCCCGAAAAGCACTTACCACATGAGCTATGGACCTGAGTTCAAGCCCCACAGTGGAAGCCTGTGAGTTAGTTCTGAGTGAGCTGGCTCCCCAAAGTTGACCCATGACCTCCACATTCATACCCGTATGGGTACTCATGTGCAGAGACACAGACATCTTTTACTAGATAACATTACTACAGAATTATGCGTTATTAGATAATTGCAGTCTTTTATTAGAACTGGGTTGGCAAGATAGTTCAGTAAGTAAAGACCCATGCCATCAAGCCTGGTAACTTAAATTCAATCCCTGGAACTCATGTGGTAGAAGGAGAGAGTCACTCCTGACCTCTGTAGACATCAGCATACATGTGGTACAGGCATACACACATATACATAAATAAAAATAAATCTTGGGAGCAAAAAAAAAAAAAAAATGTCTCAAGCTGGGCGGTGGTGGCACATTCCTTTAATCCCAGCACTCAGGAGGCATAGGCAGGCAAATCTCTATGAGTTCGAGACCAGCCTGTTCTATAAGAGCTAGTTCCAGGACAGCCTCCAAAGCCACAGAGAAATCCTGTCTTGAAAAACAAAACAAAATAAAACAAAACAAAACAAAACAAAAACATGATGCAATGGCTGGGTAGCAGCCTGAGTTGCCCTCAGAACCTTGAAGATGATTTTCTGGTGGTCTTCATGCCTCATGGCAATGCTGTCCCTAACCTGGGCTCCAGGCAGGTATGTGGATGCCTTTGGGAAGCCCACAGCAGTGGCCAGGGTTCACATTGGCCATATCATTTTACCAACCCACATTAATCTGTAGAAAAAACACCGAGTTACTGAGCCCCTGTATAGAGATATGTTTAACTCCCCTGGCTGCCAGAAGGTTCATACCCTCAAGAAGTGGGGCTTCAGTAAGTGGCAGCTGAGACATGGCTCATCCCTGATGGCTGTGGGGACAAGCGATGAGCTCAGTACACAGAGGTTTCCCACTGTGCTGGAGCTCTGTTGGTGGAGTGCTGACCCAGAGTGCACAAAGGTTCAACACACCCCTGCCCCTTCCCCCCACCATGTGGTGGGACACACACAGCCCTGGGGAACAAAGACAGGAGGCTCAGAAGCTCCAGGTCCTTTTGAGGAAATGGTTAGCAGGTAAAGCACCTGCCACTCACGGAAAGGCTGTGAGAGCCAGTGAGGCACAGTAACCCTGTCTGTGATTCCTGGATAGTCTGGCTGACTAGACAAGCAGAATCAAGCAAGCTCTGGGTTCAAGTGAGAGACATTGCCTCTCTAGATAATCTCATATAAGTGTGTGTGTGTGTGTGTGTGTGTGTGTGTGTGTGTGTGTGATCAAGGAAGACACTGATATCAACTTCTAGCCTCCATACACACATGCATGAGCATAACTAACACACACACACACACCAAAAAGTGTTCACAATTATCCTTACCTACATAAAGAGTTTAAAGCCAACCCAGGCAATATGAGACCACCTCACAAGTGTCTTGAAGGTAACCTTTGGCCACAAGTGTTTGCTCATTCTGGTTGGACCACACTGAGCCATATCCCTAGCCACAGAAAGAGTTTGGAATAGCCAAGTATGGTGGCTCATACCTTTAATCCCAGCATGCAGGAGGTGGTGCATGCTTTTAGTCCCAGCCCTTGAGGGTGGGGATGGGTGATAGAGGAAGGCAGATCTCTGAGTTTGAGGTCAATCTAGTCTACAGCAAGAGTTCCAGGACAGCCAGGATTATTTTAAAAAAAAGGGGGGGGGGGACTGGAGAGAGGGCTCCGTGGTAAAGAGCACTAGCTGCTCTTCCAGAATTTCTGAGTTCAATTCCCAGCAACCACATGACGGCTCACAACCATTCATAGTGAGATCTGGTGCCCTCTTCTGGCCTTCAGGCATACATTCAGGCAGAGCACTGTATCTATAATAAACAAATAAATGTTTTTTTCTAAAAAAAAAAAAAAGAAGGACTGGAGAGATGGCTCAGTGGTTTAAGATCACTGGCTGCTCTTCCAGAGGTCCTGAGTTCAATTCCCAGCCACCACATAATGGCTCACAACCATCCATAATGAGATCTGGTGCCCTCTTCTGACCTGCAGGTGTACATGCAGACAGAACACTGTATACATAATAAATAAATCTTTATAAAGGTGGGGAGGGGAACCAGAAAGACAAATAGCCCACAGAATCAGCTGATCCGAGCTAGTGAGAGATCACTGGACTCAAGTCAGACAAAGGGGGAATCTGCATAAGAACAATGGTGTGATTGGGACAATACATGAGGCCACTGGCAGTGGGTCCAAGACCTAACACTAATGCACAGACTGACTTAGAGGAGCCCATTCTATATGGAGACATACCTTGCTCAGCCTAGACACAGGAGTGTGGGGGGTGGAGAGGTGCCTTGGTCCTGCCTCAATGAGATGATGGGACAGACTTAGCAGATTTCCTAGGGGAGGCCTTACCCTCTCCAAGGAGTAGATGGGAGTTGGGGGATCGGGAGGAGAAAAGGGAGGGGAACTGGGATTGGAATGTCAAAAAATAAATTAATGAAAATAAAAGAAATACCAAAAGGGGGCTGGAGAGATGGCTCAGTGATGGCTCATCACTGACTGCTCTTCCACAGGACCTGGGTTCAGTTCCCAGCACCCACATGTTAACTGTATGTATGAAGGGATCTGACACCTTCATACCAATGCACATGAAATAAAGTTAAATACTTTTTTTTGAAAAGAAAGACAAAAAGTTGGGGTGGAAGAACAGCTTCTTCCAAAGGCTCAGGGTTAGCCAGTAACTCTGCCACTCAGATGGGGCAAAGTAGTGGGTTGCTGGCTTTGTCTGTGACCCTTAGAAGGCTGCCCACCTCTACCCCAGGGATTGCTTCCTGTCTCTGTCTCTCTTTACCTAGGGCTCCCATGCTTACATGGCAGTCATGTTCTCCAGCCCCCAGCTCCCTGGGAGTTTCCACAACACCCTGGGGGAGGGGAGGGGCCTGGTGACTCCCCTAGTCACATCCCACAGAATACCCAGCTTTCTCTGTTGGTGTTCACAACCACTGCGCCTTTAAGGCCTGCTGCTCAGTGCCAGGGTCTTGACCCCAGCATCCTCAGCTGAGTTGGATTAAGGACCATTCCGTGCCTTTGGTGAATTCCTTCTCGCATCAGTTCCCTCCCCCACATGAAGACAGAGTAGCCTGGAGCCCTAACCATTCTGCCAAAGGCAACCAGAGAACTGGTCTCTCCTGACAGCCTGGTCCCTCCCAGAGTAAAAGTTGCTTCTTTGGTAGGTGGCTTGTGACCAGGGAGTGGATCCTCAGGGGTCTTGGGCTATCACAGGATCTCCAGAACGCCATGCAGAATCTTAAGCCATGAAGGACTATTCCGATGTCATCCTCTGTCCAGAGGAAACTGAGTTGAGCAAGGTAAGACTCACATTAAAAACCCCCTCCCAATATCCCATGTCCCCAGTGAACATGCCTGTCCCAGCCCATAAGCCTCTGCCTTCCATTTCAGACAGAGTTCTGCAATCCTGCTTTCGATCCTGAAGCAGGGCCTTCTTGCCCCCCACCAGCCTTACAGAAAGATGCCAGCAGCAGCCTCAAATCTCCCTGGCATGGTAGCTATCCCAGGGCTTGCTCAGGTACAGAAGAGAGCCCAAAAACTAAGGTGTGAGGGATATCTTGTATAGAGGTGCCTCTACACAGCCCACTGTGTCCTCCCCTCAGCCCAGCATCTCCGAAGGCTACAACCAGACTGCCGTTTCTCTTGGCTCTGTATCCTGCTGCTCAGTGGCCTTCTGGTCCTGCTGCTGGGGCTACTGGTGGCTATCATCCTGGCTCGTAAGTACTTGGGAGGGCTTTATATGGAGAGTTCATGAACTGTTCTATCAGCCTCCAGACACCTGCTCCTCTAAATAACACTCTTCCATCCTCCTGCCCCAAGAATTGCAGGCTACATCCCTCCCCAGGACAACCCAGAGCCCACTGCCCACCCGAGGCCTCCCCACCAAGGGCGGCATTCCTAGCTCCACCCCTAACACCAGCACTACCACCACCAGCACCTCTCCAGCAGCCACAGGGCAGCAGGAGGTAGCCATGAGCCCTACACATCAGAGCAGTGAGTTCTAAGGGTTTTCTTCTGGAGAAGGCCTAAGGTGGCAGCCGGGAGGAAAAGCCTGGAAGTGGAACCTTGGCGGTGGGGGAGACCTCTCTCCTATTGACCTCTGAATCCTATCCTCCATCATCTGCAGACTGCGGAGGCCTCCTTCCTGGTCCAAGGGGTTTCTTCAGCAGCCCCAACTACCCAGACCTTTACCCACCCCACAGCCACTGTGTCTGGCATATCCAGGTAGCCACAGGCCAAACAATACAGCTCAAGATTCAAGCCCTCAGCATAGAAGGTGTGCTCGCCTGTGTTTTTGATCGCTTGGAAATTGTCCCAGAGCCTTCAGGCCCTCTTCTCAGGTGGGTCCCTTTGCTCCCAGGGGATCCCAGTTGTCTGAAGGGTGGAGAAAGAGAAAGCTCTAGATGGAAATCATCAGAACTGATCTCTGGCCCCTTCCTGCCAGCACCCTGTTGTCCTGTGGCCTAGGGAAAGTCACTCCCCCTCTCTGATTCCTCTGATTCCTTCTTCTTTTCTTTTCTTTCTTTCTTTCTTTTTTTTTTTTTTTTTTTTTTTTTTTTTTTTTTTTTTTGGGAGGGAGGGGGTGGGGGAAATGTCCGAGACAAGGTTTCTCTATGCAACAGTCCTGGCTGTCCTACAACTCACTTTGTAGACCAGGCTGGCCTTGAATGCACTAAGATTCACCTGCCTCTGCCTCTGCCTCTGCCTCTGCCTCTGCCTCTGCCTCTGCCTCTGCCTCTGCCTCTGCCTCTGCCTCCCCAGTGCTGGGATTAAAGGTGTGCACCACCACCACTAGACTCTAATCCATTTCTTACCTGAGTTCAGAGCCTGCATCACTCCCAACCTGGCTTTTTTTACAGGGTGTGTGGTAAGACACCTCCTGCCACACTAAACACCAATACCAGCCACCTCCGTGTATCCTTTGTCTCTGATGACGATGTGGAAGGGTCTGGTTTCCAGGCCTGGTACCAAGCTGTGGCCCCTGGGCATTGTGAGTGACTTCCCATCTTGTCCCCAGCACCTCCCTGTCAGCTTTCCCAGCATTGGCAAAGGGACGAAACTCTGGGGGACTGTGACTCCAGACGGTTTGTGTCCTTCTCCAGGGAGCTGTGCCCATAATGAGTTCCGCTGTGACGAGCTCCTCTGTCTGAAGCATGACTTAGTATGTGATGGCATTACCAACTGTGCCGACGGCAGAGATGAGGCCAACTGCAGTGCCAAGACTTTGGGTACGAGCCCAGCCAGGAACAGGGCAGGCACATCTTCAGGCTTCTGTCCCAGGCTGAGCTCCCCTGCTCTGACCCAGAATTTTCTTGCTGGCCACTCATGTGCCATTTGGCTTCTTTCCAGGGTGTGGAGGGAATCTGACTGGGCTCCATGGGCTGTTCTCTACTCCCAACTACCCACAGCACTACCCTCACCAACAGGTAAGTGCAGTGCCCTTCGGGAACTGGCATAGCACTCAAGAGACACCACGGTTCCTAGGTTTGTGTGCCTAGGAACAATATGCCTCGGTAAAATCAGTTCGTGCTCATCAGAAGAAAACATTGTTAAGCACCAACTGTATACCCAGATATTTCCATGCTGGGTAAACATATCTATCTCTGAGATCAGACGATTTGAAGGAGCATTTACTTATCTAAAGACAAGGTCTCACTCTGTAACTCATGCTGATTTTGTAACTGGTGAGAATCCTCCTACCCCAGCCCTCCCAAGTGTTTGGATTATAGGTATGAGCCACCATGCCAGGCCTGGCATTTTGTTTGTTTTGAGACAGGATCTCACTATGTAGCCCTGGCTAGGCTGGAACCCACAGAGATCCACCTGCCTCTACGTGGCAATAATGATGTACACACACACACACACACACACACACACACACACGTGCCTCCACCCCCCCACCCCCCACACCTACTGGATTGTTTTTTGTTTTTCCATGCTGAGGAGCAACCCCAGGATCTTGTGCGTGCCAGACAAGTTCTTTACCACTGAGCTATATCCCTGTTCCTTGGCTTTTTGAGACACTCTCTGTATGAGCTTAGGAGGCTGCTTTGGAACTTGACATATAGCTGGGGCTGGCCTTGAACTCTGCTCCCAAGCACTGGAGTTATAGGTGTAAGCCACCATGTCTGATTGGCTGCCTATTTTAAGAGGCACCAATGATGGAATGTGAGGTGGACAACAGTCACTCACACCCGCCTAGTCTGCTCTGGACATAGAAGACTGGACTTAGGCAGGAGGAGGTTCCTGTGACTTATCTCACGTGTACCCTCCCCCAGCTTTGCACCTGGTACATCTCAGTGCCCGTGGGGTATGGCATAGGACTACAATTCCACAACTTCAGCCTGGAAGCACAGGCTGAGTGCAAGTTTGACTACGTGGAGGTGTATGAGGCCAGCAGTTCCAGGGCCTTCAGTTTCCTGGGCAGGTACCAATCAGGGCAACCCAGGCCCCATCTGGCAGGCTGGGCTCCCTACAGGAGGCTCAAGTGAGTCCCCAGCTTCGCTGGCTATAAACTAAAGGTCTCTTTACCGGCACCCCGAAACAGCCTGTGCTCTCCTGAGAAGGCCTTCACTTCAGTAGTCACTTAGCCCTACTCACCTCCCCTATCTCGCCTGACTCTCCCCATCTCATACTTTCTATAACAAATAGTGTGTCTCCTTCCCCAGACCCTAAGCTCCATTAATCAGCAATCTTGTTCCCCATCACCCCTGGCATGGCCAAGCGCCCAGCTCAGAACCCCCAGGGCTGGCCGGTGGCCTGTGCCAGGATGTGTTTCTGCTCTGGGCAGGTTCTGTGGTGCTGAGCTGCCAGCCCCCCTCATCTCCTCACAGCACCAGCTGGCTGTAATCTTTAAGACAGATCTTGGTATCAGCAGCGGGGGCTTCTTAGCCACCTACCAGGCCATCAATACTACAGGGAGTAAGTGCCCCTGGGCAGGTGGGTGTGGGCAACAGAGGCTTGTCCACGGAACAGCAAAGGGTGCCCTGGAGGGCAGTGGATACAGGCATGTCCTAGGGCACTATCATACCCCTATGCCCACAGACCCTTGTGGGCCCAGAGAGTTCTGCCAGGACAGAGGATGTAGAGATCTGCAATGGATGTGTGACTTATGGAAAGACTGTGCAAATGACAGCAACAACAACAATTGCAGTGGTCACCTGTTCCCACAACAAGGTAAGGAGCCTTACCCTGAGCAAGCCCTGCTGCCCACAGCAGGCTGGGTACCTACCATACCCTCCTCGCTTCCCTTTCCTTCCCCCTTGATAAGTTCATGCCTGGGCCCCTTTCTCCTCACCCTGGGACTGCTTTACAGAGTCTTCGTGGGACTCTCGGCCCGTGTTGGCATTGTACACTATGTCACCTGAAAGGGACATGGGAATGTAGGAGTCAGAGGTGGGGTGTTGAGACTAATTTACCTTGTCACTCACAGTCCCTCTCCACAGCCTGATTCACAGATCACATGACAGAAGTGGGTACCCCACATTCCCTCAGAACAGAGGAGCCTACGTGATGTACAGGCTGGCAAGTGCAGGCTCTGGAAAACAGAAGGGCTTGTTGGAGTGTGTGAAACAGCTCTGTGGTGCCCCTTGAGATATCCAGCAGAAGTCCATATATATGACCCATGTGGGAATAAGGGCCCAGAACCAAGCAACATGTCGTTCCCCACAGTGACCCAGCCCTCCCCTTTACAGAGCTGGCCTGTGAACCTGTCCAAGTGGAGATGTGCCTTGAACTAAGCTACAACACCACAGCTTTCCCCAACATCTGGGTGGGCCTGGGCACCCAGTCGGAGGTGGTAGACATCCTCAGAGGCTACAAGGTGCTGGGACACAGAGGAGGGAGGTCATAGGAAGGGGTGGACACATGGGGACTGCACATCTGAGGTCTGTCTCTCCCTCCCACAGAGTCTGACAAGTCTACCCTGCTACCAGAATTTCCGGAGGTTTCTTTGCGGGTTGCTTGTACCTCACTGTACCCCACTGGGCACTGTCCTACCCCCTTGCCGCTCTATCTGCCAGGAGGCAGAGCAACAGTGCCAATCGAGTCTGGCACTGCTGGGCACCCCCTGGCCCTTCAACTGCAACAGGCTGCCTGAGGCAGCTAGCCTGGAAGCTTGTTCCCAACCATGACCTGAAGCCAGTCCCTACCTCTGCGTGCCCACCCTCCTCTATCTCTATGGGTGGGCAGGGCAGGCAGAAAACAAGGGAAGTGACCTGGGCATGGAACTCTACCCGTCCTCTCTGGTGCTCCCCAAGGAGAACTAGTTCCAATGCTAATCCAGCCCAGGACTAACCCATCTTCCCTGTGCCTTCCTGCACTCTTATTTACCACAATAGCCCTAGGCAGTGGCCAGGCCCCAAATAGTGCCATTGGACAGCCCAGAGATTTCCTATCCAAGTCTCTGACCCTAACTCCCTATATTCTGCCTCCCTACTTTCCATTTGAGTATTTAAGATCACCAGACCTTCAGCTTTTCCATTTAGTCAACGAAACTGTACTGAGTGTCTACTGGTGTGGTGGGACCCTATTCTATGTCTGGGGGTCCCACTGGCTCTCTACTTTTGGAATCCTTCACCCTGGGCTCTACTGATCCAGTTCTCCACCCCACAACCACACCCACACACTAGTCTTGACTTTGGCCTCTGTCACTACCCGGTTCCTCCCTCCCTCCAGCTCTTGGGAACTGGAGCTGCATCTGTCTGTCTGACAGTTCAACCTCTGTGTAATGCAGGCTCAAGACTCTCTCCTCCTCCCTTCTCCACACCCCCTACACCCCCACAACTTTGGCCGGCTGCCGGGCGACACCACGAGTTATTTCCCTGCTATTTCCCAGCCCCGGAGCTCTTGGCCCCTGAACAACTGGTTTCCTCTAGGAGTTTGGGAGGAGCGCTGTGGAGCCGGCAAGGAGCAACCAGAAGCTGGGATCAGTCAGCAAGGGCAAGGGCTGCCTGGTTGGGGTAGGAGTGGGAGCAGGGCCAGCTGGAGGGTCTGAGGAAGCCTTTCAGAGAGAGCTGCTGGGGGAGCTGGAGAGCGGGGAGGGGGTGAGTCTGGCAGAGGAGGAGGGTGGGTGGGGGAAGGGATTGTGGGAAAGCCTGGGCGCCAGCTAGGGGACTGGGTAGGGAGGGCTCGTCTTTCCTTTCCTTTCCTATGCCCTCCCAGTTCTTGGTCTGGGGCACCCTCCTCTGCATCCATGCCATCACACTATGCTCAGCCCCAAAGGCTTGTTTATGGAGCGGGGACCTGCTGGGTTCCACCTGGGTGGGGCGTGAGGTGGGTCCCAAGATTCTGGGTTCCGACTCTCGTCCTGCCCAGCCCACAGACTACAAGAGGATCCTGGCTTCTGGGCCTCTGGGGTCACCATGAGGCCACTTCTTGCCCTGCTGCTTCTGAGGCTGGTGTCAGGCTCTCCTCCACTGGATGACAACAAGATCCCCAGCCTGTGTCCCGGGCAGCCTGGCCTTCCAGGCACACCAGGTCACCACGGCAGCCAAGGCCTGCCTGGCCGCGACGGCCGTGATGGCCGCGACGGTGCGCCCGGAGCTCCGGGCGAGAAAGGCGAGGGCGGGAGGCCGGGTAAGAAGTCGTCTTCATCGCAGCCCACAGGGACATGTCTCGTGGATCCTCTGGGGTCCAAGGGTCCCTCCAGGGGGCGCTACTCCCCCTCCATTTTCGCCGGCTCGGGTGGGGCGAGGTGGGCTGTGGTTGGAGGGGGTGAGTCAACCCCAGGGAGTCAGAAATCCTAGATTCCCTCTGCTCAGCATCTGCCCCCTGCAGGAGACAATAGCCAGGAAGGCTGGGAGCCTCCTGTGCTCCTCTGCGGCTCCTAATTTCTCCCCTTCGCCCCTCCACCCCCAGGACTGCCTGGGCCGCGTGGGGAGCCCGGGCCGCGTGGAGAAGCAGGTCCCATGGGGGCTACCGGACCTGCTGGGGAGTGCTCCGTGCCCCCGCGATCAGCCTTCAGTGCCAAGCGCTCCGAGAGCCGAGTGCCTCCACCAGCAGATGCACCCCTACCCTTCGACCGCGTGCTGCTGAATGAGCAGGGACACTACGATGCCACTACGGGCAAGTTCACCTGCCAAGTGCCTGGTGTATACTACTTCGCTGTCCACGCCACCGTCTACCGAGCCAGCTTGCAGTTTGATCTTGTCAAAAATGGCGAGTCAATCGCCTCTTTCTTTCAGTTTTTCGGGGGGTGGCCCAAGCCAGCCTCACTCTCGGGGGGTGCTATGGTAAGGCTGGAACCTGAGGACCAGGTGTGGGTGCAGGTGGGTGTGGGTGATTACATTGGCATCTATGCCAGCATCAAGACAGACAGCACCTTCTCTGGATTTCTCGTCTATTCTGACTGGCACAGCTCCCCAGTCTTTGCCTAATGTACAGTGAACCAGGAGCTGGCACTCGCACCTAGAGGAGGGTGTGACGCTCACAGGCGCATACCAGGAGGGCTGGCCCCCTGGAATATTGTGAATGACTAGGGAAGAGAGCCACCTCCTATCCCATTGCTGGCAAGGAATGGAGACAGAGGCTGTCTGAGGTCAAGACAGACATCCTGGAACAGTGGCTGGGTTACTGCCCAGGACTTTAGAGTTGTGCTGTGCTGTGCTGGCAACGGTGGGTCCTGGTTGCCCTAGCCCAGGACTCCAAGGTGGGATGCTCCTTCCTAGCCCTGTGCCCCCTCTAGGTCCTTGATGCCATCTCTCCTGCTCCTAGAGCTGGCCTTTTTCTCAGAGGTCACTCAATAAACCTCAAAAACCTCCCACTGGCTTCTGCCTTTCTTCAGAGATCCACAGCAGGAAGGCTTCCTGAGTGAAATGGAGCCATGAGGCAGAGATACAGCAAGCAGACCTAGAATAATCAACTCCACAGAGCTGCCACCTAGTTATGTAGATGGTGAATGGGATTGCCTGACCAGGGGATTGCCCACCTGATTTGGGCTATGGCCACCCAAGAAAAGGAACACATTTTTCTAATTCAGACATGCCAAACCAAGTGGGAGCTGCCACTGTCTGGTTTAAAAATAAAAACTCGGGGACTTTCAATCACTGATGCGCTTGCTGTGAGCCAGATAACGGTAAAGATACCAGCTTTCTTGGTTAACTGAAAAGCTATTGCTGTCACCTCCACCCAGGGATAAGTAGTTTCTGGGATGACCACAAGGGGGCAACCAAGCACCAGACTGCAACAATGATCTAAGGTTTAGACTTCTAAGGTAGTTTGGGGGAAAAAAAGGGTACTAAGGTCTGCAGAAAGAATTTCAGATGGGGGTGAAAGAAAAGGAGGCCCTTGCCCCCCCCCAGCTCAGGAAGTTTATCTTCCCTAATAAAATGTTTATCCTCCACATTAAACAGAGACTGGAAGGAGCCAGGCTTCTCATTGCTCAGCAGGGGGTGAGGGGAAGCTAGAGGGGGATGCATAGGGGGAGGGGCAGTTCAAGCCCTGCCACAGGCCTTCAGTTCAGGGGTGGAGATGGAGAACTGTCTCCACTGCGCTGGGCACAGCCTGGGTGGGCCAAGCCATTAAATTGAAGCTGGCCACAGGCCCCCTGAGGGCTCACCTCCTGTGACAGTTTAACTAGGCTCAGCCTAATGACTAGTAAAGATCCAGGGTTTGCTAATCCCAATTGCTCAACCTCTCCTTGCAGAGTAGAGGGACCCAGCATCTCCCCCACTTCAGAAGACATTGTGCTTCTAGAGTAACACAAAATTACAGGGGAGTGTCCCTAATTGCCTGCTGGCCCTGGGAGGGCAGCTGTAGCAAAGAGCCCTAAGTTTCCTATGTCTTCCAGACAGGCCTGTAGGCCTCTGGGCCCCAACTCACACCTCTAAGCAAAAAACCCCACACTCAAAACTCATCACACTACCAGGCCCTGTACCAAGACACAAAAAAGACAAGCACCATACTGGGCATGGTGGCACACGCCTGTAATCCCAGCACTCAGGATCTCTGAGTTCAAGGCCAGCCTAGTCTACACAGTGAATTCCAGGACAGCCAGGGCTACACAGAAAAACCCTGTCCTGAAAAACAAAACAAACAAAACAGATAAGCAGCAGCTCCTCCAAGAATTGGAGGGAGGACTGGCCTCCAGGTAGCACTGTGCCCTCCCAGAAAGAGTGGCCCCACCAGGCGCACAGGAAGGGCAGGATACAAAGGCAATGAGTTCACAAGTTCACTCACAAGGACTTAATGCAGTACAAAGGAAGGCTGTTCCAGAGCTGCACGTGGCAGGTCAGTCAGATCGGAAGGGGTAAACATGAAGCAGCCATGCTTGGTGTGGGCTTTCCCCTTGACACAACCCTGCCACCCTATCTCCTTGTCCCCGCCCCCAAGCTGGGCAATCCAGATGCTCACTTCTTACTCTAGCCAGCCTGAGAGACCAGGGGCTACACTGGCTGACCACCGGCTGGCAGCTGCAAGGACCACACTGTTAGAGCTGTCAACAGAACTTTATTCATAGAAACTGTGTGGGCAGACCTAATGGAGCTGCGAGCCCCGAGGCCTCGCCCCTTGTTTGGACCCTAGTGAAATGTGCAGAATGCCCTCCCCAACGCCAGAGAGACCAGGAGGAATGACATGTTCTACGACACATGGGGCGTGAGAGGAATGAGCAGAAATCTAGTTATTCCTTCTGAGGCTCCTCCTGGAGCTGGGATGCCTGAGAGTAAATGGTCCCAAAGCCAAGTTTAGCTGCACTCCTGTACCCAGGGATAAACTCCTGACCCCAGGTTCTGAGTCAAGTTGGGAGTCTTTAAAAGACAATGACAGGCAGAAGTGGCTCTAAGGGCACCTACGGGATTCTACTCCCAGACCCATCAGGGCAGAGGCTCTGGCTGAGTATAAAGATTCAAGATCATTCCAAAACAAGAAAAACCAAAAAAATAGAAAAATTAAGATCACTCCAAGGCCCAAGAGTTGCCAAAATCCTCACATGACACTGATGTGTGGCCTTAGGGGAAAAGGACTGAAAACCCCAACAGAAAAGCCAGAAGCAATGAAGGTATCTAGATGGGCCCTGGGCAGGACTGAGGAAGACCCACCATAGTCTCAGGGCCCTTGCATAGTGACATACTCACCACCCTCGACAACATAGGGCCCCCATGCAGGGTTCAGAGAAATTGTTACCCTGCCCCACCCAGAATATTCCAGCTACATGTCCTGGGTATATGGCTTGAGGCTTGACAGAGTCGCCATCATGTTGGGGCAAAGAAGACTCGTGCCAAAACCCAGAGGCAAAATGTTGATGCTGTCCTAATCTGTGGAGCACAGGCAGGGAGGGGGTCATCAGAGGTAAACATTGAGGGTCTGCAAGATGCCTCGGCGGCAGAGTGGGCAGTTGCGGTGGTAGACAGGGTGGCGCATGAGGATCTCAGTGCAGGCCTGGCACAGGCACAGGTGCCGGCAGGGCAGAAGCAGGACAGTCTTGCTTTGGTCCTGGCAAATAACACACTTCTTCCTCTCCTCTTGTTCCTTCAGCAACTTCCATGGGTCTTGCCCAGCTGTGGGCTCATCCTCATTGAGTCTCTCTCGGCCTCTAGCAGGGGCTGCTCTGGTGGGCCTAGCATCCTCCTCTTCTGCTTCAGGAAGAGTGTCTTGTCCCTGGATCCTGGCTGAGAACAACCTCCTGGGGCCACCTTGGGGAGCTCCTGGTGCTGCTCCCCGATTTGGCCAGCTGGCCAGCTGTAGACTTCGGCTCCAGACTCTGCGCCAGGCCTCCAGACCCAGTGCAAGACGAGATACCCGCACAACATCCTCTCGAAGTCGGTGGTAGGACTGCCGGGCATGGAGCTGACGGAGGGCTCGGGCGGCCAGCCTCAAGGTAAAGTCTGGGTGCAACACAGCCAAGGTCACTGCCAGCACACAGGCCAACAACACCAAACCAGTGAGGTGGAAGAGAACAAAGCTGGCCAGGAAGCGGACAGCTGAGGCCAGCAGCTCCAGTACTAGTTGACAGGGGGTCCACAGGAGAATGGCCATGGCCACTGCACTGCTGGAAATGTGAGCAAGGAAAGCAGCCAGCACGTCTGTCATCCTCCACAGAGGTCCCACCACGGCATCCCATAGGGCCAACACCAGGGAGAAGAGGTTCTGAGTGCCAATGAGGCAGATGTTGACCAGACTGTTGATCACATAGGCCACCAGGCTCATGGCGATGGCACAGATGTCACAGGCCTGGCGCAGCAAAGCATGGCCATTGGAGACCATGTTCAGGATGCCCCTGTTCAGTAGTTCCCGGCTCCTCAGAGCTCCATGAGAGGCCAAGTGCCCTAGTAGTTTTAAGCTCTCCAAGCCAGAGTAGCAGCTATAAAGGAAAGTACACACGGCCTGCAATCCCCCAAAGGTAAATCGGACCAACGCTTCAACCAAGGCCAACAAAGAAAGCAGCACTCCTCTACCCAAGTGCAGAAGACTAGTCAGTACCGTGTGTGGCAGGTTGTAGATGAAGGCCAAAAGCCAGGCCAAGGTAGCCAAGAGGGAAGACACCAGCAGGAAGTTGAGATCCAACATCAAGATCAGCAAGTCCAGCACCAGGCCCACTGCGTTCACCACCAGGAACACAGCCTCCATGATAGGGCTGTGGAGTTCGGGATAAAAGGAGGGCTGGCTCTTCAGGGAAGGCGGTGCGAAGGTTGCCAATATTAGGAAAGTCGGGGTTAATTTGGAAGGGATGTGAACGCCTAACCAAGGGAGAACCAAGGTCTGAAGTGGGTTGGAGGGAAGACTCTGGGTAGAGGGGAAGGAGTCGCACTTTGGAAGGTGGGCTGTTCGGGAGCGAGGAAGCAGAACATCTCTAAAGTGACAGTGAGCCGGGACTGGAGGGAATCCTTCAGCTTTGGAAGCTTGGAGCTGCATACAAGGCCAGGCAACCGGTCAGACCGGGAGGAGACCCGCAAGGATGGGACGAGATCAGGAAGGTCCGGGCCGGGGCCGGGTGGGACGGCGCAGGCTGGGCGCGGGCTCGCAGTCCAGCCATGCAGGTGCCCCTGTCCCCGCCCGGCCCCTATCCCCGCTCGCGGCGACTGGCACCCGAAGGGAGAGAGGGAACGGGAGTCAGACGCGGCAAAGCCCAAGCGCGGCCTCCACTCCACTGGGCGCCGCCATCTTGTGTGCGAAGGGGAGGGGCAAGAGGGAAGGCGGGGCGGTGGCCTATGGCCAATCAGTGAGGGGCAATGGCAGGAATGTCGACAAATCATTGGTCTTTTCGAACGGCGCCCAGAGGACTTAGTTTCCAAGAAGAGGGGTGGAAAAACATGTATAAAGCCCCTCCTCTTTGAAGCAGTGATTGGCCCGTTCGCACGTCGGTGTAACCTCCCTCTCCCGCCTCTAAAAGAGCCAGAGCCAGACTTTGTTGAGGCCTCCTTTGAGAGTTATCACCCTGCCCCTCCCCCCAAGCCCACTCCCGGTCCTGGAGCGTGCGCTGTTTAAGCTCTGGGCTGGACTCTGGGCTAATACCGCCTCCGTGTCCCGCTGGGACCCGCTGCTTTTTTCATCTTCTCATTCATCATTTTTTTTTTTTTATCATTTATTAAGCACCTACCATGCTTTGAAACAAAACCCTTTTTAAGACACCGTCTGTTCTCAAACTATTCACAAAAAGAAAAAGATTGTTACAGGAGTCTCCCAAACTGCTCTTCCACACACCTCAGCAGATTTTTGCAGCATCCTGAGGAGACAGTTCTTTGTCATTGAGAAAAGGAGCTACAGACTGAAGGAGCTCGGCTTCCTACCTTGGCCCCCACTTTAGCTTGCAGGTCATCTGTGCCCCACACAACATTTTAGCTTGTAGGTCATCTGTGCCCCACACATCAAGAGTCCTGGTGTTTTCTACTTACTCGGAAATCTCTTGGGTGACTATCGTCCTTGTTAGTCTTAATTGTCAATTTTGCAAAGCCCTGGAATCATCTGAAAGAAACCTCAATTTAAGGACTTGCCTAGGTCGGGTGGCAACGTTGGGGTGGGGGCGGGCTGTCCTGGACTGTATAAAAAAAATTGGCTGAGAGCGAACCAGTGACTGAACCAGCTAGCAAGCAGCATCCCCTATGGTTCCTACTGTTCTTCCAGCGCTCTGAGTGAATTCCAAGGTTGGAGGTAATATGATTGCCTTAAGGCTCCTGCCTTGACTTTTTGTCCCGACTTCCCTCGAAGATGGACTGTGTGACCTGGCAGTGCAAGATAAACCTTTTCCTCTCCTAAGTTGCTTTTGGTCAGAGTGTTTTTATCACGGTGACAGAAAGTAAACAAGGACACTCACCCTTTCCCCTGGTCACCACTGTTTGTTTTAATTTCCTACTTGTTTTGAATTCAAACTCTCTGTTTCAGCTCAGATCCGACCCTGAACACTACCTACCTAAGCCCTTCATTTTCTCCGGGCACCAGCCGTGAAGGAGATATAGCATAGTCAGCGAGTGCTCACCTAGCATGCCTGAAGTCCTTCCTGCATAAATCCCAGCATTACATAAAGGAGGCTTTGTGGGGCACTTGAGAGGTGCAGACAGGAAGGTCAGCTTCTGTGATAGAGTGGGTTTAAAGACAGACAGTCTTGCTTACATAAAATCCTATCTTTAAAACCAAATAAACAAAGCACAGCTAGTTAGCTCATACCTTTAACCTCAGCATCCAGGAGGCAGAGGCAGGCAGATCTGTGAATTGGAAGTCAGCCTGGGCTATATGTCAAGTTTCAAGGCCAGAGCTCCACAGAGACCCTGACTTAGGAAGGAAGGAAGGAAGGAAGGAGGGAGGGAGGGAGGGAGGGAGGAGGGAGGGAGGGAGGGAAGGAAGGAAAAAAGGAAGGAAGGAAAAAGGGAAGGAAGGAAGAAGGAGAAAATGACCAGAGAGATGGCTGAGCAGGTTGTCAGGTCCAAAATAGCTGGTGACACTCTCCTAAACCTGTGGTTCTTAACCTTCCTAATGCTGTGATCCTTTAATACAGTTCCTCGTGTCCATGTCATGGTGACCCCCAACCATAAAATTATTTCATTGCTACTTTATAACTGTAATTTTACTACTATTATGAATCATAATATCTGATATGCAGGATATTTAATATGTAATCCCAAAGAGGTCAAGCCTCACAGGCTAAGAACCACTGTCCTAAACAGGACTCTGGCTGGGTTAACAGAAAGATTGTTACTTCGTAAACAAGCCTAAAGGTTTCTATTTATAGACAAATCTCTCTTGGAACATGCCTTTACTCCCAGAATTTGGGAGGCAGAGGCAGGCTGATCTTTGAGTTTGAGGCCAGCCTGGTCTACAAAATGAGTTCCAGGACAGCCAGTACTGTTATGCAGAGAAACCCTGTCTCAGAAAAAGAGACAGGGAGAGCAAGAATCTGTGTGTTTTGTTTCTTGAGACAGGGTCTCTCTCTCTCCCCGTGTAGCTCTAGCTGTCCTGGAACTCTCTCTGTAGACCAGACTGGCCTCCAACACAGAGATCAGCTTGTCTCTAGGATTAAAGGCACATGCCACCACTTCCTGGCTGGAAATCAGATCTCTGAAAATGGTTTCTGCTCACCAGGAAATTCTCTTAAAGTCCCTGAGATCAACTCCCTCTGCTAAGGGCACCTAGTTCTAGTTCAGATCAATCTGATACAGGCCTGTGTCAGCTGGGATGCCCAACCCCTGCTGGCTGTCACATACAATCTGCTTGCTTTTCCACCATTTTGCATGTCTCTCTGCCCTCCCCACCGCACACACATTGAGAGATAGTCTTGGCAGTTTGATCCCCAATAAAATCTATCTGTTCAGGGAGCAATCTAAGTCAGTGGTTTCCCTGCACCATCACCTACACTGGTAAAAGCACTTGCTGTGACCTGAACCCAACCCCCAACCCCACCCCACCCCCCACCCCATGTAGAGACCCGATTCCACAGATACATGCATGGGCATACATTTGGAGGCCAGAGGAGGATGCTGGGTGTCTTCTATTCCTTTTCCACCTTACTTTGTTTTATTTTGACTGGGTTCTCTGGCCACTAAGTGAGTTCCAGGGATCTCTCTATCTCTGTATACTCCAATTACAGGGGTATTCACCCACGCCGAGCTTTCTGTTGGGGCTGGAGATTCAAACTCGGCTCTTCTTGCTGGCACATATAATAAGTTCTCTGGGCCATCTCCCCAGGCCTATCATGCTGCGCCTGCTGCTGCTTTTTAAATCTGTCTTCAGCTTGCAGAGTTAGACAGTCCCTGGGACCCACACAAGAGGAACGAATTGGCTCTCCCAAAAGTTGTCCTTTGACTTCTGTGCACAAATTGGAACACACACACCACCACCACCCCAAATAATAACACAACAAAGCACCCAGCTTCCCACAGCCAGAAGTGAGGGAAGCCTTCTCAGAGCTGCCATAGTCCCTGAAGGCAGTTCCTGTTTGCCTGATGTGAGGCCTGCTACTCCAAAGCCAATTTTGGGTTGCCCCCCCCCTTTGGTTGGTTGGTTTGTTTATTTTTCAAGACAAGGTTTCTCCGGTAACAGCTCTGACTGTCCTGGAACTCTGTAGACCAAACTGGCCTTGAACTAACAGAGATCCTCCTGCCTCTGCTTCCCACAAGTGCTGGGGTAAAAGGTGTGAGCCACAGCCCTTGATCCAAGAATCCCAACTGTGGACAATGGCAAAGGCTCAGCCAATTTGGTGGAGGAAATTTAAGTTGTTTTCCATACAATATGGGGGGAGGGTATGACCCAGCTCTGAAGAAAACTGCATGCCTAGAGGCTCTGTCCTTGCAGAACTGGTAAGAGAAAATGCTAAGGAGGAACTGAAACCCTCCAGGGCTACTCTAGCAGCCAAGGGTGTCTTCCCTGGTGGGAGCCAGCTTTTCTTCTGCTTGGTAAGAGAAAGCCCAGCAGGACAAGAGCTCAGAGGTAACAGGGAGTTTGTGGCTGGGGGTTAAGGGACTGAATGAGAGACCAAGAGAGTGTCCAATTCTGGAGATAGTTCTGTGTGCTCCTTCATCTCCTTCACAAACGTTCAGTAAAATATAGGTTGAGCTGGTAATGGTGGTGGTGGTGGCAGTGACCCATCCCTTTAATCTCAGCACTTCAGAGGAAGAGGCAGCTAGATCATTGTGAGTTCATGGCCAGCCTGGTCTACAGAGTTAGTTCCAGGAGTTAAAGAGACCCTATCCCCCCTCCAAAAAAAAAAAACAAAACCAAATGAACAAGCAAGATATAGGTTACTTGTCAAGTTTTTTTAGAGTTGAAGGTTTTCTTTTCAATTTATTTAATTTTATTTTTAAATTATGCAAATTTAGGTTAGGGTGTAGCTCAGTGGTAGAGCATTTGCCTGGCATGGGCAAAGCCTTAGGTGTTGTGGGGCGGGGGTGCTCTCAAACACAAGGAAATTATTTAGAGGGTCTCAAAGTCAAAACTATATTAAAATGGGGCTGGGGATAACTCAGGGGTAGAGCACTTTCCTGGCTTGTACAAAGCCCCAATTCAATCACCTGCACTAGGTAGGGGACAACTATATGAAAAGGTAGATTCTGAACCAAGCTTGTTGGGTCATACCTACAATCCCAGCACTTGGGAAGCTAAGGCAGAAAGATCAACATGGATCTGAGGCTAGCCTGGTGTCTCAAATATAGAAAAATAAAGAAAAAGGTCCATTCACTGAGGACCTGCTTCTCACTTCTGTCCTTTCCACTCAGGTCCGCCTTCCAGCAGCATACAGGGTTTAGAGGTCACACATACGATGTAAAAGAACTCAGGAGAGGATGAGGCCACTTGTCCCTTCACAGCTGCACTCAGCCCACTGAGGAGCTGTCATGAGCAAGGCCCACTTTCCCAAGCTGAATTTATGCACAAGAAGTTATGGGTGAGGGCTAGAGAGACAGCTCAGTGGTTAAGAGCACTGGCTGCTCTTTTAGAGGTCCCAGGTTCAATTCCCTGCACCCACATGGCAGCTCACAACTGTCTGTAACTCTAGTTCCAGGAG